CACGATAGAGAAATGGGGAAGGGGTTGGAGCATGACCATGCGCCATTAGGGGGTGATTTCTTCCTCTCCTTTCTCTTTCCGTCTCTCTCTGGTGAGTGCACATGTCCTCTGGCAATTAAAAAATAATAATAATAAAGACCTTATTGGGGGTGTTGACTCTGTGTCTCTCTCACCCAAGGAAGAAAGAAATTTAAAGAATATTTATAGAGATTCTGGTGATCATAAGAAATAGCAAGCCTGGTGGTGGAAGTGATGGTGATTTTGTGGTTTCTAAGCTTCCTGACTGACCCTCTCTCTCATCCCCACCCTGTGCCCCTCTCTGGTGCCTTCTCATCTGTTCCCTGTAACCGAGTGTCCCCCCACCTCTCCCATGGAGCCATGCCAGAGCCCTAAGTCCTCTCTTTCCAGGCCTTCCTGTTTCCCTCTCCCATGCTGGGTTCCATATGCCCGAGGTAGGGAATGCCCTGGAAGCTCTTGGGTGCTATCCTTGTAAATATAAACTAAGAATGGACAAACTCACAGAAATACTAAGGCACTGAAGTAATCAAATTGGGATTCTTTTTTTTCATGACATACCCAGGCAGCATGACCACAGACATAAGCCTAATGAACTGGAATCCCAAATGCCTAGAGCCTAATACTGGGTCTTACCCCGCCATTGTAACAAATAATGCTAACTATATTCACTAGTATTTTTTAAAGATTTATTTCTTTTTAATTTTATTTATTATCATTATTCTTTCATTTTGACCATGTGGGGAAAGATTTTATCTACCATAGTAGTCCAGTGACCAGAAAAGTTCCTGGTATGTAGTACGTGCTCAATACATTTTTTTAAAAAGAATTATTTATTTATTTATTTATTTCAATTTGTTATTGTTAGTTTTGTTTGTTTGTTTGTTTGTTTGTTTGTTTGTTTGATGAGAGAGAGAGAGAGATAAAGAGAGAGAGAGAGGAAGGGAAAGTGAGAAAGCAAGCCACCAGGTCCGGGACTTGAACCGTGCATGGTTGGCCATGTGGGAATCCAGCACCCTTATCCACCACTCCACTTGCTGGCCCCCTCAATACATTTTCATACAGCTATAAAATACGGTTTCATAGATAAATATATTTGAACTAGGGTTTGTTTAAAATAGATATTCTGTGAATATTTTCACATGAGCTCCCTCTCCTGAATTCACTTATTCATCAAATGCTTAAGTATCTGTCAGTAACAGGCCTGCGGGAGGCGCCATGGAGGTGAAAAAGATGGGCACCTTATCTTGTTTTCACAGGGCTCAAAGTCTGGTGGGGAGAAGGCCCATACGCATTTGTAAACAAATTAGTAGAAATGACAATAAGGGATTGAGAAAAGGCCCATGAAAGAAATCAGCAGCTTTCTGACACAGGGAATGGGACAGGAGAGACCCGTCAAGTTACTCAAAGTGCTTATCACAGAGGGTCTTTCAGTGATGATTTTTAAAGTTATTTCTACTTACCATCATTATTATTTATTTAATTATTTTGGAGAGCTTTTTGCCATAGTGCACGTGTGCTCTCCAGAAAGACAGGAAAATGGAGAGAAAGTGAGATATCACCCCCCTCCTCCCCGGAGATAGCCATCCTACAATCCCTTCTCCTCCATTCTCCTCTTGGGGATTTTGGGCACACACGCACACGTGCCTGGTGTGAGTTTCAAGCCTCTGGGTCTGGGACTTGCACCATATCTGCTCATGTGAGAGTCTAGTGCCTTAACCATTATGCCACTTGCTGGCCCCTAATTTTTTTTTAAGAATTATTTTATTTAACTTGATTTATTTATGTTTATTTATTTTAATTTGCCGAGAGAGAGACAGAGAGAGGCTCTTTCCCACTATATGAGATGGCAGGTGAAAAAACTGTGAAGCAGGAGAGCAGGAGACTAAGGAGAAGAAACCTGAAGCCAAGAAGGCTGATGCCAGTGGCAAGGTTAAAAAGGGATCAGCAGTTGGCGTAATAGCCATGTCGCTGGACTCCATGTAGTCAACCACGGTTCGAGTCCTGGACCCAGTGGCATCCCATGTGTGCGTGCGTGTCCAAGATCCCGAGAGGAGAATGGAGGAGAAGAGATTGTGGCGTGGCCATCCCCCCAGGGGGTGATTTCTTGCTTTCTGTCTCTCTGTCTCTCTCTGTCTTTCTGGTGAGTGCATGAGCCCTATAGCAAAAACCTCTAAAAAAAATAAATAAAAGGTGACCCCCAAGGCTAAAAAGTCCAAGAAGGGGAAGCCCCATTGCAGTCGAAACCCTGTCCTAGTCCGGGGCATCGGCAGATACTCTCGGTCTGCCATGTATTCCAGGAAGGCCATGGACAAGAGGAAATACTCAGCCACTAATCCAGGATTGAAAAGAAAAAGAAGTTTCTTGCGACTGTCACAAAACCAGTTGTAGACAAGAATGGTGGTAACGCAGGTGATTAAACTGCGCAAAATGCCTAGGAATTATCCTACTGAGGATGTGCCTCGAAAGCTGTTGAGCCATGGCAAAAAATCCTTCAGTCAGCATGTGAGAAAGCTGCGAGCCAGCATCACTCCTGGGACCATCTGATCATCCTCACTGGACACCACAGAGGCAAGAGAGTGTTTTTCCTGAAGCAGCTGAGCAGGGGCTTGCTACTTGTAACTGGACCGCTGGTTCTCAATCGAGTTCTACTGTGTAGAACACACCAGAAATTTGTCATTGCCACCTCCACGAAAATTGATATTAGCAAAGTAAAAGTCCCAAAGCACCTTACCGATGCTTACTTCAAGAGAAAGAAACTGCGGAAGCCCAGACACCAGGAAGGTGAGATCTTCGACACAGAGAAGGAGAAATACAAGACTTCAGAGCAGTGCAAGACTGATCAGAAAGCTGTGGACTCGCACATAGAAAGAGAGAGAGGAAAAGTGAGAAAGCAAGCCACCAGGTCCAGGACTCAAACTGCAGTTGGCCATGTAGGAGTTCAGTGCCCTTAACTACCACGGCACCTGCCGGTCCCTCATTATTATTTTTTAAATTTGCTATAGAACATGTGTGCTCCCGAGAGAGAGAGAGAGAGAGAGAACGAGAGAAAGTGAGAAAGCAAGTCACAAGGTCTGGGACTTGAACTGCGGTTAGCTACGTGGAAACCCAGTGCCTTAACCACCGTGCCACCTGCTGCTGGCCCCTTGGTGATTTTTTTTTTGGGGGGGGGAGAAATCTTTGCTATAGGGTACATATGCTCAAAGAGAGACTGAAAGATAAAAAAGCGAGAAATCACCCCCGGGGGGGATGGCTACATCGCAATCCCCTCTCCTCCATTCTCCTGTTGAGACCTTGGACATGCACATACCCCGCAACCCACTTGAGTTTAAGCTGCTGTGTCTGGGACTCAAACCATGGTCGACTACATGGGAGTCCAGTGATGTAGCCATTACGCCATCTGCTGGTACCCCTTGGTGATGATTTTTAAAATTTTACTTATTCTTTCCTGAGAGAGAAACAACCCCAATGGGATCCTCCCGTCACGATCCTCCCTCATCCTCAGCCAGTTTCACGGCACGCAGGCACCCAGAGAGTAAAGAGAGGCCTTGGGACATGAACCAGGGTCATTCCAATGTGGCTTCAGCATCACAGCACTTTCTATTACCTCTGTGCCACCACAACTGGCCTTGATGACGATATTTAAGCCAACAAAACGTGAAGACAAGAAGGCTTGATGCATTCAGAGGAAAACTCCATTCTGCAGCTGTCTGGGACAGGTGAGTGTGCTACAAACTTAGGCCTTGAGGAGAAGGGGGAAGAAATTCTGAGTCCAAACCTTGGGTTCCCTCCCCACTCAACTAATTAGCTGTACAGTCTTAAAAAGATCACATGAACTGAGTTTCTCCTTCTTGAAAATGGAGGTGAGGCTGCCTCACTCACAGGTGTGGGCTTTATGAGTTAACCTACTCGAAAGTGTCCAAAGGCAGGATGACAGGTGGCGGTGTTGCGGGCAAACGCAGACATGCCATTAGGCCTGTATCACTGGGTTCAATTTCCACTGGCCAGAGTATCCTGAAATGAGAGCTGGCCCCCTGGTGTACTTAGATCAAAGGACCCAAAACATTGCAAAGCCTGATGCCGCTTGTGCTGCCAGGCCTCTGTCTTGCTTCAGGTTGTGCCTCTCTGTTGAGCGTCTGAAGAGGTATTTCCAGCGCCTTGGACCCCTTTCCCAAGTGGTGTGAGAGGAATGGGAGAGCCCCTTCTCCCTAGGACTGTCCTTGCTTCTAGAACCTCTTCCTGGCCATGGGACCTACCAGGAGTCAAGAGACCAAAGTGCACTTCGCCTGTGTTTTGCGCTGGCCCAGGACAGCCTGCCCACGCTGGCGCAAACCAAAGGCACAGGCGGGAGAGGAGGCAGGAAGCAGGAAGAGCCAGGACCTGGGGCCACCTGGGGATGCAGAGAGCTGCGGGCCTTAAGGACGGGACCCAGCCCAGGAGAGAGGAGGGCGGTCGAGGGAAGGAGAGTTGGGTGGCGGCGCAGGGCGGAGCGAGGGCGGGAAGGGCGAGCAGCGAGAGCGGCTGGGGGTAGGGGCCACGAGGAAGGCGAGCCACGCACCAAGGGGGACCGAGGCAGCGTGGGCGGCGGCCGGAGGGCAGCGGGGAGGGCAGCGGGGCCGCGCGGCGCGGAGGCGGGGCGG